TGGTTCAATGTGCCCCTTTTTAACTTTGAGCACCCGCCCCTTTAAACCTCTCTGCACGTCCCTGCCTCTCAGAACCCACGGGAGCTGGGAGGTACTGGATCCTGAGTTTAGAAGCGTCAGATTTTCTGCCGAACCGGGGATCATGTTCTCTGTCCGTGTTTCCGCTCCGTCCGGTCCTAGAAGTCCTCGTTCGCTGTGAATGCGCGGAAGGTTTTGGACCTGAGCAGAAATCTTACTGAAGCGCATCACATTAAAATCTGGAGCTTAATTTCAGGTAACATACACAAGAAAGGCACAGACGTGACATGAATTTAACCGTGTAGGTCACAGCCAGCAGAGAAAGATCGGGTCGTAAATATGGAAAATCAAATTCACATATACACATGAGTCTCAAATAAATGATTTTCATTATAATTGACCATAAAAATGACGCGTGTGACCTGATGTCCAAATGTGCTTGTTTACAGGCTCTAATGTAACATTTGCTCCTGTTGGGCTCTTTGCTGTCTCGGCCCCTCTGCTCACTGAGATGATGCTCAGTGTTACTGACAACCTCAGCTGCCTCATTTAACCTGTTGTTAGTGAACTCTTCTCTTCCCGGAGAAGCAGTAAGCATGTGAAAGCTTCAGAATCAAACGTGAGGCGTCTGCTTGGGATCATTAATGTTGCCGATCAAAACACGAGTGTTTCTAAAGCCGGGCTGAGTCCCACACTTTGTTTCAGGCATTTAATCCCCGATGTCTGAACTCTAATACAGTGAAGCTCTCAGACTTTACTGCACACACACACACACACACACACACCGCCTGGTTTCAGATGCGAGTCAAACCTGATATGGGGCTAACTGTGGATCTTTAGTTTAAACGTGTTTGAATGATCGCTCCTGGACTTTACCCACTCAGATGTGTTTCAGGTAGATTTCTGCTCATGTCCACACACACCTGTCCTTCAAAGATGCTTTCTGTCACTTCCTTTAAAAGACGTTTAAAACCTTCCAGATGAACTAAAGCTGTGAACAGAACCCGAAGAAACGACTGCTGTGACTTTTGAGCTCATATCTCAGATTTGAACAGAGTTTCTCTTCAGAGCAGTGAGGTGAGCGGATCGATCCAAGTATCTATAGCACTAATACCAACGCTGGTATCAGATCAGTATTTTTTATTTTAACACTGCCACTTGATGTTCATTTGATTTTAAATGAAAATTGTCACCAAGCCTGCGGTATGAAACACATCTGAAGCTTCCTAAAGGCCTGTTTTACTGTGTGAACTCACACTGTGTTACGAATTTTCAGATTCATGACGATCCAGCTCATAAATCATGACTCTGCCTTATGAAGGCAGCTGTAGGGAGAGCACTGAGCTACTGGGATCTGCCATACTGTGTGTCGCATCAAAGCCAGAATTTGCAGTAGCACACAGCCTGCAGGTTCCAACAGAGGAAATGTGTGAAATGTGGACGGGCGATGTGAAAATTGGGACACTGACAGGATTTCTAACGATGTAAGTTTCTGATCGTTCATTGTTTTGTGCTCTGAGAGAAAGCTACTCTCATACTTTCTCTTTTAGTCCAGCAAACCTTCTGTTTTTTTCTTTCTTTCTCTTTTGTTCTTGTTCAAAGTACAGCTGACAGCTGTTTGGAGGTAAAGTCACAGACGTTAGTTCTTCACGTTCTGCTGACACAGTAACTGAAGCTCTTCTCAAACAGGAACCGTGACGAGTATGTCTGTGGTTTTATACGTCCTCAGCTATAAACTGAGATCAGAACACTCGGAGAGACTCAGTAGTGGGATGCAATTCATTCACTGGGACGAACAAAGAAGACCCGATGAAGCAAGAGGTCCACCACAAAGATCCAAAGCATGGAGGAGGTTTTAAAAAAGGAACACATGCAGTAAATGTATTCCTACAGATAGAAGCTGGGGTGGTGTCATAATTTAAAGAAGAAAAACTCGTGCTTAAACTTCTCAGCATATTGAAACACTGACGTCTGAGCCGCCTCCACCTGCTCTGATTTCAGGCCCGTCTCCCAGGAGGCCGGCACGTAGTGTCGCGCTGATCTGTTAAATATTCTTCATTTTAACATCCGAAAATGTGGATTTTTATCCAAACTGTTGGCCTTACTGAGCGGGCTCTGCTAATCATTAACAGTGGTGGTTAAACAGTGAGTAGTTTGGGAGCTGAGATCATTAAAGAAGTCGTGACTGAAGGTGTTAAATTTTGCCTTTACTTGAACTCCTCCTCTGACACGGACAATTTATTTTGCCAGGAACATTTGAATCTCAAGAACAAAATGTTCTTTTGCAAGTGTCCTGATGACAATTGGCAGAGCTCCATTAGGTTAGTGATTACATAAACTAACCAGTGAGATAAAGGATGCTTTCTCATTCTGGGTCTGGTCTCGGTGGTCTCAGGCTTCACCTGTGGACAGGTTTCTGATTCCAGCCAGAAGGAGCTTTGAACTGTGAACGACCGTATCAAAGATGATCATGAGCTTTAGTGACAGCTCGAAGAAATAAGTCTCAGAGCTGAAGAAGGTAACTTCCCATAGTTTTCTGACGGATGGAGATCAGCGTGGAGTGAGAGTAGCTTTGTAGATAAGAACACGGCAGTCTTTGCAGCCTTCAGGGTGTTAAGGTTTACGACGATCCAACATAATGAAGACACACATGCACACAAATAACACTGCCTCAGAAGAAAGGCAGGACCTGATTCTACAGTAAAAACCAGTCTCAGCTTCGGTTCGTTCATTCCTTTCTGAATGTGAGATGTAAGATCGACGGGCTCATTGATGTAGGTGTGCTGAGATGTCATAGGTTAGTAGTTTTCAAATATTTTGTATCCAAGGTCAAAAGTTTAATTGTATCTGCAGAAAACTGACTTTTGTCCTCTGAACAGTTGTAAATTCTGATCATCTCATCAGACGAAGCCGTGTTTGGTGCAACTTTATCTGATTGTATTTTAACGAGTAATTTGAGTCTCACGATTGTCAGTCGTCATCGTCCTTGCTATGAATCAGACCCTTTCATGTGTACTAACACAGCGCTTCTGTAGCACTTTTGCAC